CGGCATAATGCCATACATTAGGTGAGAAAACGCAAAAGAGGTTCAGCACCCTTTCAGACTACCAGACGGAAATCGAAGACGACATCCGAGATTCTTATTAAGACGTTAGGAAAAAGAAAAGAAACAGATGGCTAGAGCCTGAAATGGTCCGTAGGCTCAACTTCATAAGCACGTGGAGATGTGTGCTTGAAATTCGTAACCCAAAGTATGAGATGTTAAAAAGAAGAACTCTAAGGGGAAATGACTAATTGAGTGCATCAAAGGCATTGTAGATCATCCAACTCGAGCGTCGCAAGTCGCGCCGTGATGCCCGAAAGGGAACTTAAGTCGCCCGTTGCGGTTCGTCCGTGACTCGGTGCTGGGGAGTTGCGACGGCTCTCCGTATCGGCATTGCTCGTAGATGTATTACGCGACTGATTCGCCCAACGAGAGGAACTAATGCCGTGAACCGTCGGCGTACGGTCTGTAGAAGCATCCGTCTCCTGCATTGGGTTGGTACGTGGCACGAGGACTGCACCAGTCCGTATGGTAGACGCCGATGAGTTGCTCATTGCGTACGTCAATGTATTGGCCTCTGGTTGGACTGATTTTACGGCGTCTCTATTATGATACCTTAATAGAGCCAAGAATTTGTTGGTTTTTTCTACCGTCTCCTCTTCAGGTCGTTCTTCTATGTCAATAAGTTTCTCTTCCGGTGCAGGCCATTGCTTTTCATGCACAGGTCCCGCATCTTCCAGATGCTTTTCCATTGGCCATAAAGCCTTTGAGACGAAGGCATTGTTGCTTGTGGATGGCTGCTGCATTCCCAGGCGTCCAGTCACTCTGAGGAAATATTCGTTAAAACGGTGAACTCTAGGGGGGCAGGGGCGCGCATATTGTCGCAACACGATCATCTCGTCGGCCGAGCGAATAATCGGAGCGTTTCCATGTAGGATATTCGCATATACGACTGCAATTGCCTTTCTCTGTTCGTCTTGATTCAGGTCCCCGAATTCCTCATATCGCTTAAGTTGCATCGTCGCGACCTGCATTGCTGCTTGTTTAGCGGGCGCTACTAGTGATGAATTATGAGCCCACGTGAGATATTCCAAAAGACTTCGGCTTATTTTTATCATGTGCCTGTAGTCTCTGGTCGTTAGGGAAGAAAGTACGCGAAGGGAATCTTGAGACATGTCCACTCCAGCTGTGATCGCTTCAATTGTCACAACATCCTGCTCGAGTTGTGAGGTGGAAAAAACCGTAGCTGTACTGAAGCTAACACTATACTGTGTCGTGACTGATGGCGAAATAGTTTGAGATCGGGCAATCGTAGGGAATGTGCCTTTGATGGACGCTGCGATTACAGGTTCTCTTTGGAGACTAGCTGACTCGGCATCGCCTATAGACTTAACTATTGACTTTTCATGATAATCTAGGTCTATAAGGTTTATAGGAGACTTCGATCTCTTAAGCGATTCGGGAGAATTAAGATCAATCAAATCTTCATTCGTGATCTCCGTGCTTGGGATAGGCTTAGGGGGTGTAGGCTTAGGGGGTGTAGAAGCCACAGTGTCGACTCTGGTCCGGTAGGTTTTAGATACTTGATTCTCGAGAGCTTGTCCATCTGTCTTCTCCGAGTCCTTGCTGTCCGTATCAATTTCCAGCTGGGGTGCGGGCTCGGTTTCACTCATTTCCATGAGGATTGGCATGCGAGAGTTCTCCTGTTGCTTCCGACAAGACTTTACTAATTCTTCGAATTTCTGCGCGGCTGAAATACTGCCGAATCGTATCTGACTCGATCGTACTTCGGAAGCCTCATTATCTTGTCGTCGAAGATGAACGCTACTTCCGTATTGGAACGGTTGCAAGCAGAGACGAATATCGCCTCTTGTCGCTCTGCCATTATTGATACTTAGATTCCAGATAACGACACCGCTCGGTCTTTCATGGAGAGAAACTTGGCCAGGGCTAAATGCATCTAGCCCAACGACAAGCATAATAGTAACATCTTCATCTCGGAAAATAACTCGACCTAGTTTAAGCGTCGTGGTTTGGATCAAATTTCCACGAGTGACTTGAGTTTCATCGCTTTGATCAGGCGTATTATGAGCGGGTCCAGCTGGTCGTCTCTGATGCGGGAGCTGGGTATTCTCCTGCTCATGGGGCATGAGAGAAGGTTGTAACCGCAGCGGAGCGCTACGTCCTAATCCGCCTAGAGTAGGAGGTTGTTGCGGTCTCGCCTGGACCGGTGTACCGCGTCCGGTGCCAGGTATATCAGGTATAGGGGTGAAGTGAACTGGGTTACCAGCTTGTTCCGCTCGTTTAGAGTCCCATCGTCTCACCTCAACACCAGGTGGCATGATACCACCAAGCGAAGTTTCTCTATGTCCCGGTGGAAGGGGTTGGGAGGGCCGTCTTGGCTTCTTAGAATAACCGGGATTCCTGGTACTGAATTAGCATAGATTCCATATCAATTTTAGAGGATGAACAGTTACGTACATTGGATCATATGTCGGAGCATTTCCCTTAGAAGTAAAGGCTAGAGGCCGGCTGTTGTAGCCAGCAGAATTCCCGCTGCCCCCAATCCCCGGTTTCGTTGCAACTCGGTTTAGACGATGGGCATTCCCGTCATCAAGCGAGTCAAGATCTTTGACCGCATGATAATCGGAGTCGTTGAACAAACCCTCATTAAATGCATCTATCGCAATTGATTAGTCTCGTATCAAGCCGTGGCTATGATGAATATATTATGTAAATAACTTACTCTTCCAGCCTGCAGCAGGGTCATTCGCCGAAGGGCGTTCCTCGCGTTGCGTCGAGAGTGGACGACGGTTTACTTGGAAGGTCAGACGGCCGTGACGCCGATCTTCATCGGTATCTCTAGCAAGTTCTTCAAGACGACTATTTCCGAGATCATTCTATTAACAACCAGAGTTAGTATATCACCCTTTCGAGTCTTGAGTAGATGAGTTAGGGAAGACTTGCCATCATAGCGTCCATGATGCGCTGGTCCGCCTCTGAACCACCCATCGTGAGTGATTCGTAAGTAAAGTTGGTATTAGGCACGAGGAGTATACACTAAAGGAAGGAGGTCAACGCAACGTATGGCCGAATTCTGGATTGTCTTGTCCAATGCAATATTAAAAAGGAACACGGCGTAAACAATTGCCCGGCGACCTTAGTCCTTAACCACAACGTTGTGCGAATGTAGGTAGGAAGGTAGGAGATCGAGGCTTGCCTCAAGTCAGAACCAAAAATGAAGTCTTGATAGTGAATGGCGTTGGTTAATTGTTGTATTAAAACTGAGTAAGGGTTGAGGACCTCGTAGGAGGTATATTAGGTACCTAAGGCAGGCAATGTTCCTCGTAGGGTGCTTGGGTGCTTATGAGGCAGTGAGGAATGAAGAGGGTAAATATGTAGGCAGACTAAGTGGGAAAGTGGTAAGAATTAAATACCTAGCATGTGTGCGTAAAAGAATAAAGGCAGGAGGAAAAGTAAGAAGGAAGGAAGAGCTGCAGTCTTCAGGAGTTCCAGTCAAGTGCAATTCGAAAGGAAGCGACTTCCTTATCACCACCTAAAGTAAACCGGGTCTAAGGTGAAAATTCGTTCACGTGAAATTCACGTATATCACTGCGCGAACCGGGGCTTCTGAGGTTGATGCCTGTGTTATTCGGGGACGTCCCAAAGGAAATAATGATGCACGAACCCTAGGACCGGTTAGATCAGACACATAAACTGCAGGCTATTGTTATTTGAACGCGACGGACAGGTCAGTATATAGGTATGTCAGGGGTAGTTTTGTAGTCACCGCCGAGGGCACGAGGGAGGTACCAGAACAAGCGTACATCTAGGTACAGTTGCTGCCCAAATAACAAACAAAGTGGGAATGGGAAATGTGCCTGAGTGCATGCATACCTCTTCTCTCCTTGACATGCACTCGAGATCGGGTTACTAGAGATTATCCCCAGTAACGGAGACCTGAGAGACTTATACCTAAACATGCAGAAGAAATTATGCGGTTCCGTTTGCATGTTCATGCGGTATATGGTGGAAAAGGGGAACCAGGAAGCAAAGATGGGAAAGAAAGGTTTGGTACTCAGTAACAAAACCACATATAATTACAATGCCGCCTATTATCATGCACGATAAGATTTAATGTTATCTAGGATAGCCTGTATGTTTTAGGCGTGTAGCCTACCGATGTGTTGATAGTATGTCGGCGCTGTGTTTCTAGGGCATTCTTTGATGCACCTCCAGCAATCATCTTCTAAAACTAGAAAGGTAACCTTCCAAAGAGATATAATAATAGTAACAATGTTTACTAGATTGTAATTATATTCCTTGTAACCTACTGTTAAAGATGTAATACTTGATATTTTCCTTCTTGCTTAGGTACCTAAGTTATCATGTAAATATTTAACATGATGTTCAATGTTAAAGCTAATACGAAAAATTCGTATAACGGATAACTACTACTAGGAAATATATATATATATATGCACCTAGAATATTTAAGGCACGATGGACTAGATTAGTTAGGTACCTAGATACGTATGTGTTTGAAAGTGGTAATGTTGCCATTAAGATTGAAACCGGAGATATATAGCCAGTGAACTCGACCTGGCTATTGGTGCTTGTCGATGCTGTAAATGATATCCCTAACACGTAAAGTCTGATTCTAGCAGTATAAGTGCCTACCTGGGTAGGTATACATTTACGAGGTTGATAGCTAAAGACGTATGATTATGGAAGAACATCAAGCTCATCCTCACACACACCGAGCTTCACTGTTCATAAAAGGAATCATACTTGTATCAGAACCATTGCCAGAGTAATTCAATATGATTTTTAGATGGCTCTTTATAGGTATTTCCTATTAAAATTGCGAGTTGTAGACCAAAAGGGTCTGTAGCTACTAAATTGGAGCAGCGAGCTCTAGGGGGTAAGGTATGGAAGCTTACCTCCTGAGGAATTCTACCGGGGTTAGAGTATATGAATGAGGCCCGGTCAATCACAGAGAATGTGTGAAAATGAGCGTGCTATAATTTAATATGTGTAGCTATGATGCTGTGTTGAATCGTGAGCCAAAACCTCATCAAGCGCGAAAAGGGACGGAAAATAGGAAACTAATTTACATGAAATCATCTGAATACTAGATTGATCAACCTACTCCATCTCACTACCAATACGATTGCACCTCGCTCAAACCAGCTTTGTCCCAACTAAAAGGTACCGAATCACGACACAGGACATCATTAAAAAACCTCCTTATACCAGACCCGATTGACCCTGCTTTTGACGATTCCAAAGTTCCGTGATCCTTCTTCTCATACCCGTCTTCTCCTGACCCGATCCCGACTTCTTCTCTCCGACTGACCTAGTCGTCTTATCCACTCTACTCGACCTGTTCTTGGAGTGCTTGCGATCATCTGCCACCTTTTTTTTGTTGGAATGGTTTTCTCGTACCATGGATAAATTCTTGAGAACGCCAAAATACCAGAGGCACAGCACTACTAGGAAACCAGTGACAACCAACGATACAACCTCTGCCACAACTTCAACTTGTTAGCTTCCATATTAAGAAGCTTAGGGGATAGAAGCTGGGGCTCAATACTTACCAAACCACGCCGCAACGTACTTCGTGGTGTACGCGGTGATCGGATCTCTTCCGTTTCCTCTGTCGAGTTGGTATTGATTTTTCAGGAGACCCTCGAGGGGTAGAGCGAATAGACTTGTCATGAAGGCCAGTGGCGCGAATATAATCGTGATAACTGTAAATCCAATAACAGCTGCGCTGAGAATCAACCCGGTGCGAGCGTCCCTTATACTGGCGTATGTCCGCTTCACGTTTAGCTGATTCTGAATCAAGTTCTCGATCCTCTCTGCGTCTCTATCAATCTTGGCAACCCGTTTCTGGAACAGATCAATGTCTTCTGCGGATGATTTCAACCCCACCCAACTTCTGAAGTCCGAGTTTGTCGGAGCGCCATCTAAAATAGCATCTAATTCTTGACGCTCAACATCCTGAATGAAATCACGCAGAATTTCCTTTTGTTGATCCAATATTTCCCGTATCATAACCAGTTCCTCTCTAACGTCGGCAATTCTATGTATAAAACCGCGCTCTTTCTCAATATCCTCGGGCAGCAATTGCTTGTTTGGATCCGTATATGCCTCAACGTCTGATAAGATTCGGACTACGCTAACCTCAAAAATATCAAGGGGCGATGGAAACTTTCCACCGGCTTGTGGTTTGTTGAATTTCTGAAGGTGATGGGCTATAATATGCCCAGCCTGAAATATAGAATGTTCTGGTGAATTCAACGTCCTCGTTTCCTTGACTATATCCTCAAAGCTCTCTGATTCCTCTTCCGAATAAGCAGTTAAAATATCCTCCCCAGATCTCCACAACCACAGTTGGGACACCGTCAGAATAGGTCTTGTATTATCGTCAACCTGTATGCCATCGAGTGTTTCTATGCACTCTCTGGAAACCACCTGGTCATTATTTCGATGTGCAAGTGCTTCGGTAGAGAGGGCTGGGTAATAGGTCTCATCTAGTGTTTACTCCACCTGTACCAGACTCTGGGCGAAGCTACTAGGTATCTTTGATCTCAACTCAAGAGTCTCCTCCCTTGACCGTATATAATTGTTTCTGGTCCGAACTACGAGACAGGGGAACTGTATTTGTTAGCATTGCATAATCTCAATACATGGGCAGGTATATACCACAATATGCATATACGGAGGCCTGAATCGATCGTAATATGACTCGTACGATGGTTGACGGTAGTTAAGCTTCGGATTATTAGAGGCGGGGGTAGCCCCTAGAAACCACGAACGATATGTTCCCTCTATACCAATGAAATCATTCTCTTGTACGAGGTGCCTGAGAGCAGCCTTGAGTATATTAGCTGCTGATCTCCGGGATCTTCGTTAAAACATACAAAGATTATGATGCCCTACCAATATTAGAATACCTAAAGTTATGACACGCTCTGCTGAAGACTTACGTTCATCCACGGAATATGACACCAGCTGAAGCAGTCGTCTTCTGGGGGGTCGAAAACGGAGTTTAGTATATCCAACCGCTTCGTATGTATACCTGACCCGTCACCCCAAGAGCGATAAAAGTGCGCATTTGTCAAATGCGGATACAATTGGCGTATCTTCCAAAATGCGAAAAGTAGCGCAGTACTTCTTCCCTCATTTTTGCCTATATTAATTAGTTCTATCGGCATTTTATCGTCTCCGTTTCTGATTTCAGCGTTAGCACCCATTGTGAGTAAGTAGTTGATATGATACAAATTATTGTTTCTCGCTGCATAGTGTAAGGGAGACCATTTCCTCTTCTTATCCAAGTAGTTCAAGTGCTCTACAGTAAAGCAGTCGCGCTTTGATAAATACTCCAACAACTCGGAGCCCGGGTGCATCAGATAGAAGATGATAGATCTATCAAAGATATCCCGACGTGTCAGGTCGGCGCTTTCTTCTTCGACCAGATATTTGACAATTGGCAGCAAATTCCAGTATACGGCAAATCGAACGAGGCGGTCTATATCGAGGTCTAAACCTAATAAACGGCATTTCTGGATCAACGATTTCACCTCTTCTAGGCTCAATGATAATAATGAATTAATTTTTTTTACTTTCTCAAATGTTAGATCGTCATCATTCATTTCATAATTTCGAATGAGTCTCTTTCGAATGATGTAGGCACCTACAAATTTCTTGCTTTTTGGATTCACTCTGAGTTGATCCCGTTTGCGATTGGTCTTCTGAAGGAGCACTTGCCGACGGCGGGATATCCTTCATGCGGGGGATATCCTCTATGCCGATGGAATCTTCTTCGGGGACATTATCTACGTAGGGGAAGCCGCCGTAGGGGTTGTGATATATTATACGGTAGTTCTTAAATAAGATATCCTCGCCGCCGGAATTGAAAGGTGGAAAACCGACATGTGCTCCTGTCGATGATTCCGCCATTCTCCTTTCCTTGCCCTAGTGAGATACTGGGTAATTAAACATGATTTCTCTTACCTCTCTTACCAAATATATATGTTGATAGGTAAAGTGTTGGTCCTGCGAAGAGGCAGAGGGCGTGGGAGAAGAGTTGTGCGTCGGGGTTAGGGCTCCCCTTCTTAATCTCTTGTAACATGAACAGCGGCTGAAAACTGAAAGCCACAACGATGCAACTGGAGAGCTTATCGCCCAATCAGTTTGAAGCAACTCGCAAAACTTGGAACTCTTGCATAATTTGCAAGCCACCAATGTAACGAGATCAGAGTGTCAGGTTAGACGGGGACTTCTTCCAACATTCCCAAATTGATGGATTCACTATTTGGTGTGAATAGACCAAGCCGGGTAGAAGGGAAATAAATTGTATTATCGCAATCCAAAGAAAGTGAAAACAAGTTACAGTGAAGAGAAAAGCCTCACGTAGATTATTCTTCATGGTAGTCAATTAATGACTATCTATCTAAGTAGCCGACCGATGTCAAGCTACTATGCAACTTAATGCAACGCATATAAGCGTATCTATACCATCCATCCGTAAATAATACACTCCCTTCGGAGATTATTCCCCCTATGTTGTACAAACAAGTCCCAATAAACCATCTTATCGTAACCCATCTATCCCCTCAACTCAACACACGATCTCCCTATTTGGACTTCGCATCCTTAGGCGGGTTCTCCAGGTTATCCTTGCCCTGGCGGCCCACGCCGCTTAAGTCGACGTCCTTCTTGCTTGCGGGCTCACGCAGTCCCGCCGTGGAGCCGGCGCCGGTAGAGACGTCGCTCTGGACGCGGCCGGAGCCGACGTTGACGTTGCGGGCGTCGGCCGAGTTCCAGTCTGGGGCGACGGGGGGCTGTTCAGGTAGAGGGAGGTTGGATCGGACCTCCTCGATTTTGTCTGCCTTTGATTGAGTCATTTCTGTTGTAGCTATGTTAGTTTTGAGCTGTTCTCATGTCGTGAAGTTACATTTGTTATATATAACTAGCTTGATTAGGGAACTTACTGTTTGATAGTATGTGATGGAGACAAGGTGTGAATTTAATCGTATGTTATAGATCTTGTGATGAGAAGTATCGATGAGTTTAGTTGGTGTTTCTTATGTGAGTCTAATGATGAAAGAGAATGAAACAGTATAGACTGCTGGACCTCGATGCTTTAATATGTACGTCAGTTGTATGTATGATATCGTCTAGGAACTTTTGGTCCGGTGGAGCAGAAGCTATCTTGACGTCATTCGAGGGCTTTAATATACCTAAGGTTGAAGAGTTGACGTCACAATAGTCAATCTTAAGCTATCGCAGTATAACGCATGTGTAAATTTACCGATTCTGGACCCGCCTATTCAGCCCCAAAGCTCGCCTAATGCCCCTGTCAACTTTTGAAAGGTACCTAGGTATTCTTGGGTCTAGGAACGGGATGACCCGTAGACGACGACGTAATCGACTAGGTTAAGTAAACAAGAGGCTGAAATTGAAGCGGAATCTGCAAATCTGCAAATCTGTAAATTCGATTTCCAGTCACAGCTTAGTCTACAGGATTCTCAACACTTCTAAATTATTAAGAGGAGATACTGCAGTGTTGGGTAATGGTTTGCCATCATATCAGCATTCAAAACGTCATACCTGGAACGCCTAAACACCACGTTGATATCCCTTACCAATCTTGCGACAAAACCACTGGCCATGTTTTTCAATGCGACATGATCTCATGACTTCTGCTTCTTCTTACAAAGAAACATCTTCACTACGCGACTCTTTTGTCCGTCTCTGCAGACGTCGCCTTCTCCCCTTCGTCGGGGTTTAGATAATTTGCATCTTCAGCTGCCTCGTACTCAGCAATTAGGTCCGTCACTACTTCCCTGGCCTCATCGAATTCGTGGAAGTTCTCTGAGAAGGGTGCTGTCTTCTTGTAACTATCTATGAAAGCGTTGCGTTTCCGCATACCATCGTATTGGCGAACAATTCGTTTAAATAACTATGAGATCGTTAGTTGATAGATTGCCGCCGAAATGTGCATTTAAAGAGACTTACGGTTGCGATGCTGGTGTGGTTAGCCAGCATCAGACCGCTAACACGGTGGCTCATCGGGATATATGGACTGCGCTTTGTCAGAGCCACCTGTATACTTGCCGGGCCCCACGGTATAAATGTTGCTAATCTTCGCTCGCGAATACGTAGCAGACTCTTGTGGACGTCTGTTGGGTCGACCTCGCCTTGGATGACATTGAGAATAGAAATGTAGCAACTCTTCTTCCCTGGTATAGTTGAGACCATACGATTCTTAGGTTGTAATAGTCGTCTCATAACATCAAGTACGGTGGTTTTCCGGACCGTTTTAGCTTGTTCAACTTGATCTCCGGTGAAGGGGGTATATGCCGTCATTAAGAAATGGCAGCGAGGTGTAGGAATTAACGATGCTAGAATGCTAACGAGATCATTGTGCATATAACCGGGGTATCTCAACGTTGTTGTACTGGCCGACATGACTGTTGAGACTAGCTGATTGGTTTGCTGGAATGACGGCTCCTGAACGTGCAGCCTGTCTGCCGCGATATGAGACAAAGCTCCATTATCTAAAACCACGACCGAGTCGGCATTTTGTGTCAGCCGCCTCATGGAGAGAAGACTGTTATACGGGTGGACGACGACATCTCCCGAATTTGTGGTATCAGGGAACACTGAGTACGTTTGGATGATCTTCTTGGGGAATCTGTCGTTCATCCGTTCCAGAAGAAAAGAGCCTAGACCGGAACCTGTACCTCCAGCAATGGAATGAAGCAGCATGAAGCCCTCAAGAGAATCACTGCCATCTGCTTCGCGCTCTATCATCTCCATGATCTCCTCGTGGACGGCCTCACCGGTCTGGTATCCATCACCCCAGTTGTTCCCTGCGCCGATGCCACTTTTACCGACGTAGAAGTTCTCCGGGTTGTAGATGTTTTTATAAGGGCCAGTTTGTATACCATTGATGACGCGGGGTTCGAGATCTATTAGAATTGCTCGGGGAATATATCTCGTATCGTCACTCTGGTAGTAGAAGACGTCCTTGCGATCACCACCCTCTGTGGCAAAGTCTTCGAGGTTGCCGTCTTGATTGATGCCGTGTTCCTGGCATAGCTGCTGCCAAAACTGGCTACCGACTTGGGCGTGTCAGCGTATATGTCCTAGCTGCAAGAGCTGTTTTCGGGATTCTGAATGGACATCACTCACTGCTGTTGCCGCACTGGCCCGCCTGAATCGTAATAATTTCTCTTAAAAGTAGTGTTAGATTGGTATAAGTTTTGCCGGGGATATTTTGAGCTTGCTTACCTGGGCATTATCGCGACACGTAATTTATTCTTAAGTTTGTAGACTTATGCTACGAAAGAAATGCTCTCTCTTAACAAATGCTCCCTTGGAGCTTAAGATATTTGATAACGGGTTGTCTTATCGACGCGTAGCGCGTTTTAGGTACCTAGGTGCCCAAATTGGCGGGGTTGTGCTTGGAGTACGGATAATCCTCTAAGCTTTAACAGTTTAGCTCCACAGCAACTCGGAGAATTAACCGAGTACCTGTATTTCCTCATGTGAAACATTGAACCAATTGAAACATTTTAGAATCGATCTCAAACAACAGAAACTCGGCTTCATCATATCTAGTTTTATAAGCTTGAGATAATTGAGATAATGATCTCTTTCTTTTTGCTTACTATATCCAATATCATGATCACTATTACCTATATCTCGTCCTAACACCAACATCTTGAGCCTTACATCGCTTCGCTCGGCATGAAACATCAGGGTACAGCTCCGTTATGATTGTGCTGTCCAATTGATAAAGCTGTAGGCTAGTGGACCCCCTGAAGCTGCATCACAAAACAGCAAATGCATGCGTGTGATAACCTCCCGACCCCGACCTCTTACCGCCAATGCAGCTACTTGTAAAACAGGTACATATATGATCTTACCTGCCCGTTCCAAAGGCTAAATAGACAGCAAGCGCAGCCAGGTAGCTTGGGCCTGCATGCATCTAAGGTTACCTACATATCTACATATGTACATAATACTTATATTTAGGTATTCCGTATTGTACATACATATGAGTTTCTCACGATCCTGCGCACATATGTACACACCGTTCCTCCATCTTCACATTCGCTCCATCTTCCGATCTAATACCCAAATCTTTATTCCGTATATATCCCCATTAAACGTCATTTACCTAATGTACATCATGTCGAATCCATAATTCATATCTCTTAGTAATTCGTTTAAATTGCCTTCACATGCATTTGCTCTCTCCACATCCAATTAAACCAAGCGAATTTTCCAATCCAGATAGGGGGAAGCGGCTTACACGAATCGAGGCCGTCTGTCGGGGGCCTTGTCGCGCAACGCGCTAATCTTAGACTTACCACGGCGCAACCTTCGAAGGGTGGGAGCCACACGCCCACGCTCACGCTCACGCTTACGCTCGGTCAACCATGCAGAGATCTGCTGCTTCGACACCGACGCAGAATGCGACTCCTTTCTTTTCTACCAATATCTGGGGGAACAGCAGCGCCAATTCGATCCCTAACGCACAGTCGCAATCGAGCCAAGGTGGTCGTAGCTCCAGTAGATCGCGTCCCGGTACCAGTTCGGGCGACAAAGATAAGGACAAAGAGAGGGAATCTAACGTCTTGACTAAAGACCGCGATCGCAAACCTTCTTTTGGGCGCAAACCATCCTTTTCTTCCCCCTCCAAGGGAAAAAGACGGGGAAGTTCGTCCAATGCAGGAACAGGAACAGGAACAGGAGGCCAGATCAGAACCGACGCTGCTATACCACCCGCTATTCCCCCTGACTTTGCGCTTGCTGCCGCCGCCAGGTTGGTAAAAGAACCCGATATAGTATCCTCGCCGGCATCGACCGATTCTTTTTCTAAGATGATAGCCCGCACGGCACCAACGTCTATCAACGGCTACTATCCTGCTTCGACTACAACTTCTCCTCCCTTATTTCAAAACGAGATCCCCTCGCTTCACCAGCATATCCACGAAGTCGCTAATAAAAGGATATCAACTTTAGATTATCTACGTAAAGCGTATGTTCCTAGAAGAGGCCCCTCCTCTTTTTATTTCACCACGTCTCTTTGATCAGAAAGCTGATAATATGTGCTAGTCATGAGGGTCGCGTCTACTGGTTCAACACGTTGCTTTTTGACAAGCCCGACCTGGCACGTATGCCTTATTTTGACAGCCGCAAGTTGGCCTATCGTGCTACCAACTATCTTCTGCTCGGTCTTTCGCTACCGGCCGTCATGGACCTCAACTCGGGCACGCCGCTCGAGTTTCTTCGCTCTCTCAACACCCTACTCGCCGAGTTTGAATCCTACCAGCAAATCCATACCGAGAATGGCGTGAACACGAGTTCGCTTTCCCGCGCCCGCATACCAAATATGTTCCGCCGAGGACCTGGTGGAAGAGGCCGGAGGCAGTCAGGTGCCAATGATTTGTACACGGAGACTAGCAACAATAGCCTAGCTAGCGGCTCGGCCGTGAACTCGATGCCTACGAGCGTTATCAACTTCGGGCTTGGTGGTGAGGGCAACGACCTTGTGCCTGGAGAGGAGTACACTCACCTCTTAACGCCGAACCTTCCTTTCGATCCCGACTTTTTTGAGACGTTTGCTACACTATGCGACGTATTAATCGATTGCTACTCGAGGCTCATGTCCCTTCTTCCTACAGCGAAAGACTGTACTCCTATCATTGCGGAGCTGTTTACCAAAGCTGATGCCAAGGTGCGCAAGATTATCATCCAGGGTGTGGTCAAGGAATTTGAAGATTCTAGCCGGACGGGCTTGAAACAGGAGATCGCTAGTGTGGGCAAGGTGGTCCTTGGCGGTTTGATATGATGAGGATATTCACGTATATGCCTATATATATGTAATAGTGGGTTTGTGTTTATTGGCTTAGTTGCTGTCCTGGTGTTTTTAGGATCACTTCCGGTTGAGGATACCAAGTAGCATGGGTTACAGGGCACAATGGCGTTCAAGTCTTTAAATGGGATATTATGCATATAATGATCACTAGTATACTACAATGTCTAATCATGGCGAGTATATAAATATAATTAGGCATTACTGTCTAACATAATGACTGAGACTATCATGTAACCTAGACTACATCTCTAGAACTAACCTCATAGAAAAAAGTGAGAATAATGTCCATCAGATACCATAACGCATTTTTAGTCTTCAACGAACTAACCATTGGCTAGCCTCAGTGCTTGACTCTAATACTGGTTATCATCACATGAACTTCACATTTGGCTGGCACTTGGGTTACCAAGATCCCGCACAACCTTCGATCCAGAGCAGCATAGACGGAGGAAAGGCTTCCCACGAAGCCCAGAGTTTGGGTTGTCTAGCAGTCCATCACGAAGAGAACCCCCTCGCACCAAGAATAAGCCCCATCGAGTAACCGAGCCACGTCCTCAGGGAAGAAGCAGGGCAATCGCATAACTATCAATCTCGACAACAGGGGATCTACACCTATCCTTCGCGCCCCTCGTCCGCCTAATCCACGACCAACTGTCATCGACAAGCCCCCAGGCACTTGAACACCGAACCACCCAACCAAGAGCGCGGACTCATATCTTCGTCCATGAGGTCTCAAGGCTAGAAAATACGGGCCAGCACGCTGAGAAGACGAGCGATGTAGCGACAGGCGGGGCGAATTATAGCAGAACAAGGGACAGATAGGGAGACATAAGCCGCTGTGCTTCTATGGCGGCGCGTTTCCGCTTTCCTTCAGAAAGAAGGATGTCCGGGGACTTTCTCCCAAAGCATTCTAGAAGAGGAGACGATCAATCATGGATCAAAAGTCTCTGTATGTAGCTTCGATAGCGATTTGTTGGGCGAGGGGGTTGTAGAAGAAGGAAGAAAATTTTATGAAAAAGCTGGGCCGAAAAAAAACGTTTTAAAGGTTTGCATCTTTTGGACATGACTAAGCAGTTGAAATAGTGGAGTCAATCTATATCAAGATTAGGTACGGAAGTCGCCTTCAAAAGTTTTGTCCATAGGTCAGCCCTTGTCAGCTTTGGCCAGCACTGCCAAGGCTTGGCGACGACTGGTAGGATATACTTTTAAAAATACTATTATTTTACTTAATTTTAAACCTAAAAATATAATAGTTAAAATTTTAAAATTTATATATAATAAAGCTTAGTTTTAAAATTAATTATTAATTGTAATCATATTTTATTATTGTATAAATTAAGGTCGCTATTAAATATAGAAAAATGGAAGAAATAAAGTATACTTTCCAATCTGTAGCCGCCAAGTGCTGCCAGCGGTTCCACAGCTGTGGTCAAAGCTGACAGGCGCGCACTATGGACAAAACTTTTGAAGGCGACTTCCGTATTGTCCAATCATATGCGGAACTCGTCGAAGCTTTGACAAATACGTGACTAGTCAGCTTTAGGGAATGGCTAATGACCTGTAGCTTTTAGTTGGTTACCTAGGTAGGTAGGCTTAAGTACCTAAGGTTCCAGTACGCGTTTAACTTCCATCACGTTGATGTCAAAAACGCTTCATCTTCCATTCTGCATTCTGCATTCTGCATTCCACATTCCGCATTCCGCATAACAACAACGGCGCATCAGAACACCATACCCTTATAGGTATTTCTATACAAGCTTAGGTACTTAATACCCATCCGGATTTCCCAACGGCTTGTCTTCAGCTTTCGAAGCTATCACTTTTTTTTCCGAAGGGCAGCCTCGTGCTGTATCCTGTAAATTCTAGCTGCTGTCGCCGCCATATTTACCAATCGCCATTCTTAAGGAATTACCAACATTACGTATCTATACGGCTGTAACGGCCAGCATCGCAATTCGATATGTCGGGACTCTTCGGGAGCAGCGCTGCTGCGTCAACTTCTAGTAACACTATTGGCGACTTAAAGAACGATGTTGCCCTGGCGAATCCCCCCGATGACACAGTCTCAGACCTCGCCTTTTCCCCTACCTCAGACATCTTAGCCGTCTCAAGCTGGGACAAGAAGGTCCGTATATATCAGATTGCTGCCAACGGTACTAGTGAAGGGAAGCATATGTATGACCACGAGGCCCCTGTTCTCAGCGTAGACTTTTCTAAAGTAAGTTGATTTATATTACTATGACTATTATACTCATTGAATATCGTATATTAATATATGTCCCAGGATGGCAACAAGGTTGTGTCTTCCGGTGCCGACAAGCAGGCCAAAATCTGCGACCTACAGACCCTCCAGACGGCGCAGGTAGCCGCGCACGAGCAGACCATCCGATGCGCCCGCTTCTTCGAGCTGCCCAACTCGAACGGTCCAATGCTCGTGACGGGCTCGTGGGACAAGACCGTCAAATACTGGGACCTACGGCAAAGTACGCCCGTCGGATCCATCACTTGCCAAGAACGTGTATATTCCATGGATGTGCGTAATACGCTACTAGTAATCGGCACTGCGGACCGCTACATCAACGTCGTCAACCTCCAGGACCCCCTGAAATTTTATAAGACACTTCAAAGCCCTCTTAAGTGGCAGACTCGTGTAGTTAGCTGTTTTACAGACGCTAGCGGTTTTGCTATTGGCAGTATCGAGGGTCGTTGCGCCATCCAGTATGTGGAAGAGAAGGACTCGAGGTACGTCACCAATTTTTTAAAAGATGCCCTCTCTATTTTAGTAGATTACTAACGTAAGATAGCTCTAATTTCTCATTCAAATGTCACCGTGACGCGCCTCAGGGTAACACGACGCAGGTATACGCTGTCAACGACATCTCATTCCATCCACATCACGGGACGTTCAGTACGGCCGGTAGCGACGGCACGTTCCACTTCTGGGACAAGGAAGCGAAACACCGGCTGAAGGGATACCCCTCGGTAGGAGGCAGCATCACGGCGACGACGTTCAACTCGGGAGGCACCATCTTTGCGTACGCGGTCGGATATGACTGGAGTAAAGGTTATATGGGTAACAGTCAGAACTACCCTAACAAGGTCATGCTACACCCCATCCAGGGAGACGAGTGCAAGCCTCGCCAGAACGTCAAGAAGCGGTAGAGCGCCCACGGCTCAGGGCGACCCAAGGCGCGCATGCTGGATAAACAAGGTGATTGGAATATGGAGAAGTAATCAGGGCGGGACAGGAGGAGGGCAGCTATTAGCATGTTGTCGTGGCTACTACTTGCCCACGCGTATATCCAACAGATTGGTTTGCCGAATAAGCGGATAATCAGAATGTGGCTTATACGGCCCCGAGTCTGCCTTGCAGGAAACAGGAAAAGGAAAAAAAGAACGACAGAAGTTGTAGGAATATGGCTGCCGTATAGGGCAAGGGGTAGAGATGAGAGGGCAGGCGGACGACACGATACCATGTGACTTTATCTACGTAGGTAAACGGACAGATAATAGAGAACACGCCCTTGTTAATGCATAGTACCTAGGTACTCACCAGTTCTCTATAGAGTGTTAAGGGGGTAGTAGTAAGAACGACATGAAGGGAGAGGCGGTCTTCCTAGGTCCACTCGATAAATATTCATGCCGGTTCGTATTATTTCAGTACATCTTCCCATTTGTTTCCCCGGGGACGTCCCTCTTGTCTCCGTCGTAAATAAATTTTAACTTATATGCCGAGGTAGGCACCTAAGGTGCAACGCCTCATCGCTCAGCCCTTCAACATGGTCCAATAGGGGACTTGGTGAAATATGTGCGATACGACGCAACAGAGGGGTTTTAGGCAAGCTGTGTTGAAAGAAAATAACTGTTCAAAGCCAGATCCATTCTCAACAAAAGTTGGTTCCTCGTCAGTCGAGAGTTCCAGAAACCACTACCGAATATTTTAAAGCGAACTTCACGAGTACTAATTACCAAATACGATGGAACAGTCGGACAAGACGGTCGCAAGGTAGCCTTCGTTGCTCAACAGGGGCTTAAAGGAGATAAAACTAAAAATGGATATGGTATTCGACCGCCTACCTTTTCCCGGCTATTTCGTTTGCTCTCGCTGTCGGGAGGTGCCGTGGAATAAATTAGCAAACCCAGAATATAGCCCAAGACAAATCATGCTGTTGTCTGAATCCCAGGAGCAACTCAAATCCTCAAGCTGTCGTATCTGCCGCCTTCTTGCGAACATCAAGCCCCCGTCGTTATCTGTAGCATGTTGGGACCTGGCATTATACCCAGCTTTCGATGCTTCATTCCCTATACCGGGGAGCAGTAATAACCTCATAAGCATTCCTATGTACGCTAAAGGCGCAATTCAAGTATCTCGACCGGACTAAATGTTCAAGTATGGGATCCAGTGCATAGACCCTAGTAATATTAGCTTAGGCAGTTATAGTACATGGCAAACTATTTTGACGCTCAAATACCATGTTTTTAAGTGTACAAATATTGCTACAATGCTATGCCAAATACCAATGGAAAGGTCATTTGCGGGCTGCTGCTTAGGGATGATAATAGACGGCTGACATATTGACATGGGCCACAATACAGAACCGCAATCGTAGTCGTGCTTATTATTTAGGGGCATGAGAATTACAAACGATGAATAAACTCGTAGTAGACAAAGTGGTAAAACTTACATCTTAGGAATTCTAAGGCGTTGCCAGCTGTGATTAAAGCTATAAAATATGTTAGGAGCCCCTCTCATCACTCCTGATTTCCGATTGCCTGGTCAAAGTGGTCGTGAACTAGTGGTTAGAGACGTGATAGGAGTAGAAATAACCCCTCGGCGCTCTTCAACGGACTTGGGTTCGAACCTAGTAGCCTATTCTCACTTTCCAGCTCGAGTCCCTGAAAATCCAAGTATATCGTTTACGAAAGTATATAACAAGTACCCGAATAGACTTCGTTTACATCACTTACATTTCTAGTAAAAAAAAGCTAAGCAGCCCCAGACAAAGAGTTGTGATATTGAAACTTGATACCTGTTGGTATAATAAGGCAGATTAAAATTCTCTCGGCCCTTCTCCTATTATCTGGTCAAGCATTGCTCGTAGTATTAATAGCAGAAACCTCATTCTTCATATGTGATATAAGAGGGATATTAACTATGAAAAGTTGCAATCTACTGACTAGAGAAAACTACATGGTGCATCTGTAAGGAAATATTTGTAACGAATGCGAATAACTTCTTTCATACACGTAATAGGCTGACGGTACCCACCCTGCCCGACTTGCTATTAATTAGACGATGGCTAATTAAACAGTAATACTCATGGGTGTCGAAGGGCTTCAAGGCAGTTTGTCCATAAATTTATGAAGTCTTATCTTTCTGGCCTTTGGGCTTATTGTTGCGACTACTCTTGAAAAAGTCGGCTATTTTCAAGGCCAGCTTCGTCCATTCAATGACTGTCTGCCACCAACTTTTAGGGAGTGATGACCCGGTATCCTCCGTACTTTCTCTTTCCTCTATATCCTCTGTATCCTTTATAGGTGGGGGGGCTATTAAGGTGAGAGGTTTTGGGATAAAAGGCTGAATTTTGCGAGGTCTCGCTACTTGAACCGTTGAACACAAGTCGGATGTGCTTAGCTCAGGCCCAGTCGATCGTTGGGATTGCACTTGGAACTGTGAGGTAGATGGTGTTGGTAGGGCTTCTCTAATGGGACTTGATGTTTGGGGGGCATCGGACTTGACCGTGATGAGAGCGCGACCATTTTTGATGTGGATTTTAGAGGTGACTATGTCTGCATTCAACACTTTGGCTGCTTCTGTTTCCGCTATGGGAACGCCACTTTCGATCTCGCGAGCAACTTGCAGTTTTATACCCGTTGCTTTCGCGTAGTGTTGTTTGATAAGGTTTCGGAGTTCGTCGCTTCTTTGGGATTTGTGGTCCTCAAGGTCTAGCATACGGTCGTAACCGTCAACGGATCCTTTACCTCCTGGAAAGCCGTGATGGTACACCGAGCCTCCACGATAGCCTCCTGGCGGATTCAGGATCCGGCTTATATCTTCTTGACTAAGCAGTTCTGGGACTGTCGTCCAATTCTTCACAAAGTCTTTTGGGGACCAACTATCCCAGTGGTTCGTGACGAAGACAATATTTCGGAAGAACTTTGGGCCGCAGAAGCACTGAACCCATTTGATGGTTTTGAGGTCCTCTTTGCGAAGTCGATTTTGCATTTTGCCGTAGACAAAAAGAAGACCAGCAACTGTGACGAAAGGGCCAAGAGCTTTCAAGCAGCTGATTATATTATAATAGTTTGCCATGTCGTCCATATCTGCAGCGCCAAATCCAGCCGTGTCTACAAAGAGATATTGTTTCCCGTCAATGAAAGCGGGACAGATTTCGTACTTTTGAGTACCTATAATGTTAAGTTAGTAACCTAATGTTCGTCTATGAGGCCTCGTAGCACGTACCTGATTTCAATGTATACCCAATACTCAGATCCAAGCCAGTTAGTTCTTGTAGTATGGTTGATTTCCCAGTCCCCGTTTGGCCTACTACGAAGATCAACTTGGTGCCTTTTAGGCTATGATAAAATTAGCACTATAGCTGCTTAGTTGAGCTTCAGATGCATCGATGTAGACGTACTACTTCTCCACAAAGTTAACCACGGGCTTCGATGCTACCCCCTTAGCAGAGTTTAGCAGTCTCGTCAATCTAGCCTGAAGCCAGTTGTCGGATAACTTGTCGTCGTCGTCGTCGTCGTCGTCGTCGTCGTCATCTGAAATAGAAATCATTCGACAATCAGAGTCATATTCATCGTCAAAAGCTTCGGAGTTATCACCCAGCCGGATGCTGTTGGTATCCTTGTATAAATCATTCAGGGGCGTATGAATGGGTTGAACATCTTGGACCTCCTCCAGAACCGAGGCGGACCTATTCCCACGGATATCCTCTCCTGTGGTAGTTATTATAGTCATAGTAGGTAAATCTTGTGGCGGGGTTCGGGGAACGTCGTAGATTTAGCTGGGGGGAAATCTTGCTAAGTGAGCTACACGTGAATTTTGATGATACCGAGAGGGCTCCTGCGGCTCAATATAACTTAGCGGATTATTATTCCAGAAAACTAGATACCTTAGACGTAAGATTAAACTAAGCAAAGGATGACCGGGTGGAATCAACTCGAACGTCCGTGAACTTTTCTTGGGCGTTTGTTTTCTACCACACGAGAGGACGAGAAAATTCAGTTTCGCGCTGGGTTATTGATGCTGTGTGACATTCAGCCTCCAATAGTAAAAGGTGGCGATAAGTGACTTGGCACCATTGAATCTCTATGTAATATGATTGGTATGAACGGTAGAGATAAGAAGCCATTAAAATGAAGATAGCAGTTTACTGCCTTTGCAGCCCGGGATCCTACATATGATTAATTTCATTCGTCCCCTTTACCCTTGTGTCAGAATTCTAGATGAGACATCTAGAATAAAGTATATGTTCAGTATGTATAGGTATACATAGGCTCCCGAAGGGCTACCGTTAACGCAGCACCTGTTCATTTGTGGCACGGTTCAGATATAGACACTTGCTCAATGTACCGGATACCCCAATTGAAATAAGCAAATT